CATCACACACCCGATAAACAAGTCGTTGGAAAACGATTATGAATCACAAAAGTTGGCCAATTGTCGAAGAATCGTTTATCAATTATTTTTTGATGAGGTTTGTTTTTTTATTCTTTTTGTTCTTTCGTTGAAAAATCGTCGCTCAATCATTCGATTATTAATGGCAATAAAAAGTTATATGTATGAGTTGAATCGCGGGGAAAATTAATTTCAATTAATAATTAATTCCATTTTTATTGATATCTTTTTTTCTTTTTTTCCTTGAATAAATAAAAACTTAGTTTAAAACAAAATTAAATAAATTCTGTACCTATAAATAATTAAAAAGAAAAAATTCTTTTACAAACTATTTCAATGACGTTAAATTATAAAAATAGAAAATTCAATAGAGTGAATAATATTAAAATCAATGTACTATTTGTCATTATCATTTTGTGCCAAAAGTTTTTGTAAATAAATTACGTATTCCGCGCATGTTTTCAACTTTTGATGAAAACTTTGTATTTCCCAAAGGAATATGCTTTAACTTGTAGCCAATTTTCTTTTGCTACATTTCATATTTGTTCGCCTTTGAGAACTTTGAATTATTCTTCCCCTATACATTGCAAAAAAAAAAAAAAAAAAAACGAGGAGAGAGAGAGAGAAACACAAAAAAAATCGAGGAACGAAAAATAAAGAAATTTTTTTGAAAAAAAAGAGGAAATTAAACCTATTTTCCAATCGTCCTGAATTTATGGACATTCGACAATGTTCCATAATTCAAATTTTAATTAGAGAACGAACTTTATTCGAGGTGTGCTACTGGGCACATTTTACACGTGTGCTACTATGTATAGTAACATTTTTACTACCTTGGAAAATTAAGGGCGGGTATTTAACTGTTTTTTCACATTGTTTTATTTACGATTCAAAAGAGTCGGAGTCTGACTAAAATTTTTTTCTTCTACTTACAATTTTATTAATATGTCTTCATGTGACATTTATTTACTTTTTTTTAAAGAGACTTAAGTATAGCAGTGAAACATTTTAGTGAGATGAAATGACTTTTTTGTTGAATGTACGAAAAGATTGAACATTTTACGAAAAAGTGTTTTATTTTTTGCTTGTGGGTTGAACTTTTTGCTGACAATGAGCGAAAATAAATAAAAATTTTTTTTGTTAAATAACGAACCTGGCGAAATATTTTTGAATGGTTTATTGAAAAATTATTTACATGACTTGAATACTGAATAAATTGAATTTTCAAAAATCTATTTTAAAAATTTTTTTTCTAAAATTCAGTTTATAAAATATTTCTATGACAAATTGAATGAAATTTAATTGTAAAATTTTGTTTTGTAAATTTAAATAGAATTTTATTGTCAAATCTATTTTGCAAAGTTAAATGGATTTTATTGCAAAGTCCATTTTGTAAAATATTCTTCAAAGTGTATTTTCAAAAACTAAACAAATTTCTTCTTTCAGAAACCTAGAATTTTTTGATGACTATTCGAAAATAATCTTCGTTACACATTTCTTGGTAAATTTTAAACCTATATAAAATTTGAAATAGAATCGAAAATAATAAAAAAAAAATGAAAAAATTGTATAATTGCGTTATTGAAGCGACTGAATAAAAAAATAAATAATCGATATTTGTTAATAAATTTTAGTACAGAAATACTAATAAAGATGAGATTATTCTTGTTATTTGTAACAATAATAAATTTTGAGAATACAAAAAAAAATTCTGAAGTTTCTCTGAAATTTATTTTTGAGTACCTATCATTTTTTTATTTTAATATATTTAAATAGTAAATTATTTCGAATTGTTGTAAAACTTTTAGTAATTTTTCATACATTTAGAGACAATTTTATTTTATTTTATTTTATTTATTAATATTAATAATAATACTCTAAACGGAAAAATACGAATATTTCTTTTTTAATTTTAACAGTAAAATTATTTATAAAAAGATTGTTATTTACGTATGAGCAATATTTACTCTGACTACTCATTCTAGAATTGTAGTAAAAAATAGTTTATTTGTTAAAATCTAAAAGAATAATTAAATTATTTCAAAAAAGTTTAATTAAAATTGTATTTAAAATAATTGAATTCTTGAAAAAAAATCTAATATCTTTGTAAATAATTGAATTTCTCCAAAGAATTTTAAAAAATCATATTTTTAAAAATTTGATTTTTTTGAGAAACTAAAATTAAATTTTTAAGAATAATTACATTTTTTGAGTAATTCCTGTAAAATTGTATTAAAAATAATTGAAATCCTGCGATGAATTTTATTATTTATGAAAATAATTGAACTTTTGAAAAGAATTTTATTAAAATTTTCAAAAATAATTGAAATTTCGGGGATAATTTTATTATTTATGAAAATAATTGAATTATTGCAAAAAATTATTTATGCAAATAATTGAATTCTTGGAAAGAATTTAATTAAAATCTAAAACAATAATTGAGTTATTTCAAAAAAATTTAATTTAAATTGTATTTAAAATAATTGATTTTTTTTGATAAATTTTATAAAAATATTTGAAAATAATTGAATTCTTGTGAAAGATCCTAATATGTTTGTAAATATTATAAATATAAATATTATATTAATATAAATAATTATTAATATAAATATATATTATATTAATAAATAATAATTAATATAAATATTATACTATTATAAAAAAAAATTTTGTAAAGAATTTTATTAAAATTTTCAAAAATAATTTTATTTCTGAGAAGAATTTTATTATTTTTAAAAATAATTGAATTATTGTGAACAAATTTATTAAAATGTTTAAAAAAAATTGAATTTCTGTAAAAAATTTTGTTATTTTTGAAAATAATTGAATTCTTTATAAGAATTTTTATAATCATTGCGTTAAGTAATTATTTTTTTTCGAAATGTAATAAATATAATAAAACTTTTATTTTAAATAATTGAATTCTTGTGAAAAACTTTATTTGTGAAAATAATTGAAATTTTCGATTAATTAATTAAAAATATTTTTAAAAATAATTGAAATTCTTCGATGATTATTCTTATTTAGAAAAATAATTGAATTCTTGCAAAGAATTCTATTAAAAATTTTTTTTAAAAATTGAAGTTCCATTAAAGATGGTATTATTAGGTAGTGAAAGTAATTGAATTATTGTAAAAATTTTTCAAAAAGGGCTTTGTGCCCTTAAACATATATAAATAGATAAATAAAATGATAATCCAAATTAATTGAATTCTTGTGAAAATTTTATTATTTATGAAAATAATTGAATTTTGGATAAATTTTATAAATGTTTTTTTAAATAACTGAATTCTTTTGCGAAATTTTATGAAAATAGTTGAATATTGAATACTGAATATTTTTTGAAAATAATTGAATTGTTTTGAAGAATTTTATTATAATTTTTGAGAATAGTTTTTTTATTTCTAGTATTAGCGAATTTAAAGTAGTAGAAAAAGTAGTAGTTTTTTTCTCAAAAAAGAACAGAAATAGTAGCAGCCCTAAAGGGCCGTTACGTTACTTTGAAATTTAGATCTTTCTTGACTTATTTAAATGAAAATATTATTTATAAAAAATATTATTTTTATTATATTTAAATTTCAAAAAAATATATTTGTTACTAAATAATAAATATATTTTTTCTCTTTTCATTGCCTATAAATTTACAGCTTTATAAATCATTTACATATTAAAATTTTGTGAACGTTGAAAAGTGAAATTTCTGACTATGACAAAGATAGAAGGGGGCAAACACTTGAGGCAAAGACATAAACGTTTATCTATGCTGTGCATAATTTCCCAGACCTGGCGTTGATGACACGGCAACCTAAGTACATTACGCTTTCAGTGTTGGTTCGCGCGTATTTCAAAATCTTGCCGCAGTATGTATTACATGGTCCGAGCGTGTTCCGGTGAGTTTCAGCATAGACATAACCCGAATGCAATATGCATGCGAATTTGAACTCGCCAACTGAAATGGGGGAAGGGCAATGATATTCACGAACGACGCCGAATGCAATCTGTGGCGCCGTTATTATATGTGACACAAAAGATGAAAAGCCCGATTATTTTACAAAAAAAACGAAAAAAAAAATGAAAAATAGAAAAAAAAACCTTGACAATGTTTTATGGGATTTTTTTCTCACAATTTTCAAACAAAACGTTAATCATACAGTGCGAAAAACAATTGGACATTTTAAATATGCATTTTATATTTACAAGTTGTAAAGTAAAATTTTGTGTAAAAAATTTTTTTTTTGAAAAAGTGACAATTCTTTTCTTATTTATTTCTTTTATTCTTTTTGGTAAAAAAGAATAAAAGAAATAAATAAGAAAAAAATTCATTAATAAATATTTATTTGTTGTATAAATTATTCATCTACTTTTTATAAATAATTTATTTTCTAGATAATTTATTCATTAAGTTATTTATCAATATTCCTAAAGTTTGGAACGCTCAAGTGAACGAAACATTTTTCCCGCTCGAATATTTCTAAAAATACTCTAAAAATATTAATTAGAAATGAAAAATATTTTGTAATAAAATTTGAATTTGAAAGGGATAATACAAATATTGTCATTCATTTGAATGTTCGAAACTTTAGGCACATTATTATTTATGCAAATTATTGACTAGTTATGTAAATAATTAATTCATATGAATGTAAATTTTATAATTATATAATTGTTATGGTAATTTCAAATTATTTATCTCTTTAATTTGAATTATTAGTGAAAATTGAACCTCTAATTTACACTATTAAGAATATTCACTAATTTTTAGTGAAATATTCTGTTTAGTTAATTATCTGTAATATTAATGTTTTATTTTTTTTTTTTGCTAAAGGTTTAGTGAAAAATGACTAAAAATTGGTTAAAATTCTTATTATTGTGAATTCATGGACAAATTTTCACTAATTTAAATTTAGAGAGAGGAAAACTTTTTGCAGACGAAATTTGAAATTTCAAATTGAAAACCCAGAGGACACGTTTTTATTTTTCAGGATCTCACGTATGGCGAGAGTGGTCACAACTGGCGAAGTATCATATTCTCCCTTTTGGTTATTGGCATGATTATCGCTGGCATTGTTACAGCAATCTACCTCCTTGGGTAAGTCTATTTTGCATTCGTTGAACCAAGAAAAAAATAATAAAAAGAAAAGCAAATAATTTAACAAAGAAAGGGGACTAAAAGAAACAAGAATAATTTTTCGAGAAACAAAAAAATAAAAAGTGAATAATTTCCAAAAATTAAAAAAAAAATAATTTTTGCAAAAGAAAGGCGAATAAAAGCTAACAATTTTATAGAAAAAAATAAATAAAAAAGCGAATAATTCTACAAAAAATAAATAAATATAAAGACTAGGGAATAATTTTTACAAAAAAAGATGAAAAGAAGAATAATTTTACAAAAAAAAAAAAAAGAAAAATGAATAATACAAAAAATAAAACGGAATAATTTTACAAAAATAGAAAATAAATAGAAAAATATTATAAACATTAGAAAGAAGAAATAAAAATTATTATTGAAGTAAAACAACAGTGAAAAAATTATCCAACATAAATAAATAATAACCATTATGATAATAATTCGAAAAAATAAATCTAAGATAAAATTAACGACACTCATTTATTTCACAAATCCACTTCATTAATAAAAAAAAGAAACTAACAAAATCTAATATTCTTATTTTTCAAGAAGTAAATAGAGAGAAATTTGATAAATTTCTTTGACATAAAGGAAGAAGAAAAAACCATATATAGAGAAATAAAGTCGACATTCTATTTAATTAAAAAAGAGAGGAAACGAACTTGGAGACGATTCTTTTTTTTCTATTTTCTTCTTCTTCTTCTGTTTCTTTCTTTTTTTCTTTTTTTTTTTTTTTTTGTTTGCGTTAAATGTTGAGAAGAGTTTTGTGCAAAAAAAGTTGTTGCTAATTACAGATACGTCGATGAACTTTTGTATTGGAGCGGAAAGCGTTTGTCATTGGAGGACTGTTTACGGGGAGATCTGACACCACATAGACTACCACCGACATGGATTTCTCACGACAAGTTCGTTTATCAAGCAGACGATGGTTCCCTCGCTTTACTGGACACTTCCAATAACACAGTGTCACTTTTAGTCTCCAACCACACGCTGGTACGTCATTTACTTTCATTATTTATCCAACAAAATATCAACAACAAAATTAATTATTTATTTCAACTCTCATAATGGATTAAAACAATAAATTTGTTATTTTCTCAAATTTAATAATGACAAATACATTTTATCAATTTCTCCAATTTGAATGAATCAAGTAAAATTTTTTTCAAAAAATTGAAATTAGAAATGAAAAAAAGGTCAATTTTTTGATAAAATTTAAAAGTACTGCTAAACTAGTAATGAAAAAAATGTCAACATAATCTTAAAATTTAGGTCAAGAGAGAATTATAACTACGAAATTTACGGAAGAAAACTAAAAACAAGGTTGAAGATTTAAAAAATAGATAAACATTTACAGGTCAAGAAACGAACACAAGATTAAAATTAAAGGCATTATTGACAGGTCAAAAAACATTTGTTTTATATTCAGGTCAAGATTCTATGTTCAAGGGATAATAGGAAACAAGAAGTTTAGGTGAAAATTTACAACTTAAAAAAAAATATCATCGAAATATTGAGCACGAAATTTACAGGAAAAATAATTAAAGAAAACCCAAAAATTTAGGTCACAATTCACAGGTTATAAGGTGAATATTACCACTAAATTTAGGTCAAATTACACTAAAAAGTTAATTGTACCTTTAAGTTTAAATCGAAACTACAAGAAATGAAGGTCGAGAGATTAATATCGATATAAAAATAAAGGGTTAATAATTATGAGATTTAGGTCAAAAGTGCAGGTTCAAAAGTTTTAGGTCTAAATCCACGTGTGTTATACCAGTATTGTCATTAAATTCAGGTCAAATTTGTAATGTTAAGAGTCGAAAACTATGATTAATATTAAGATTGAAAAAGTAGTTGTCGGGTACGAAACGTAAAAAGTTCCAACTTTTCGGTGAAAATTAACAAGTCATAAAGCAAATGTATCTCTAAATTTAGGTCAAAACATGCTGAAAAGCTAATTTTACCTCTAACTTTAAATCGAAATTTTCTGGTCAAGAAGCAAAAGTCAAGAGTAATATCAAAATTAAAGAGAGTGTTATCAATTAAAAAGGGATAAAAACTCTAATATTCAGGTCAAAATTTTTACTTATCAGAAAATATGATCTCTAAATTTAGGTCAAATTTGTAAGGCTAAGAGACGAAAATGCAGAGTATCATCAAGATTTAAAAAACGTTTTTGGTTAACAAGCCGAACAAAGCTCTATTTTCTAGTCAAAATTCACAGGTTATAAAGCGAATATTTTCACTAAATTTAGGTCAAAACACGCTAAAAAGCTAATTTTATTTCTAAATTTAAATCTAAATTTTCTGATCAAGAAACGAAGGTCAAGAGTAATATTAAGATTAAGAAAGGAGTTATCAATTAAGAGGCGATTGAATCTCTAACTTTTAGGTCAATATTAATTATTAAGACGCTAGAAATCGAATATCATCTCTAAAATTGGGTCAAAATCAAAATTGTCAAATTAAAAGTGAAAATTAATATCAACACTAAAGAAAAATTTGTCGTATAAAAGGTGAAGGAATTACTAACATTTAGGTCAAAATTCTCATGTCCTAAAGTGAACACATCTCTAAATTTAGGTCAAAACATGCTATAAAGCTAATATTACTTCAAAATTCAAATAGAAATTCTGTAGCCAATGAACGAAAGGGAAGAAATTAATATCAAGATTAAGGAAAGGGTTATCAATGAAAAGGGGATTAAAACTAACTTTTAGGTCAAAATTATACGAATAAATCAAATATTAGGTACCTCTAAATTTAGATCAGGATGGTAAGTTTAAGAGATGAAACTCAACTCCAACTTTTTGATAGAAAATTCACACGTTATAAAGCAAATATTTCTCTAAATTTAGGTCAAACCTCGCTAAAAAGCTAATTTTGAATCTACATTTAAAGTCAAATTTTCTGGTCAAGAAAGAAGGTCAAGACTAATGTCAAGACTAAGGAAAGAGTTATTAATTAATAAGCGTTGGGAATTTTAACATTTAGGTCAATATTAACACATACAAAGCGAATGTAATGTTTAAATTTAGGTCAAAATTATCTATAGAATGACGAAAATAAACAGTAATATTAAGATAAAAAAAATTGTTGTAACAAAGGGGCTAAAGGAGAACTAAACTTTACTGTTCAGGTCAAAATTCACAGTTATAAATCGAATATATCTCTAAATTTAGGTCAAAACACGCTAAAAAGTTAATTTTAAATCTGAATTTAAAGTCAAATTTTCTGGTCAAGAAAGAAGGTCAAGACTAATGTCAAGATTAAGAAAAGAGTTATTAATTTATAGGCGTTGGAAATTTTAAAATTTAGGTCAATATTAACACATAATAATGGGAATGTTATCTTTAAAAGGTCAAAATTGTCTACAGAAAGACGAAAATAAACAGTAATATTAACATCAAAGAAAAAATTGTTATGCAAAAAGGGAACTAAACTATACTGTTTAGGTCAAAATTCACAGTTATAAAGCGAATACACCTCTAAATTTAGGTCAAAGCACGCTAAAAAGATAACTCTATCTCTAACTTTAATTTTAAGTTTTGTGTCTAACAATCGAAGGTCAAGAAGGTTAATATCTGAGTTAAGGAAATTATTATCGTTCAAAAGGTGATTAAAACTCTAACATTTAGGTCAAAATTCACATAAGTGTAATGCGCAAAATGTACCTCTTAATTTAGGTCAAAATTAACACTTTATAAAGCGAATGTTACTTCTAAATGTAGGTGAGAGTTGTCACGATGAGAGCAAAGATCAAGAGAGATATCAAAATTAAGGCAAAAGTCATTGGTTTAGAGGCAAACGAAACTGTGACATTTAGGTCAAAATTTTCCGGAGAAGAGACAAAGATCAAGAGTTAGGATCAAATGTTAGGATTAAGGCAAAAGTTTTTGGTAAAGGGGCGTAAATAAACTTTAAATTCACGTCAACTACGAGTTAAAAATAATAATCAAACTTTCCAAAAAATTTAAAAATACTTTTCCTTATAATTTTCATTTAAAAAATATTTTTCATTAAGTTTCATAATAATCCACTTATAGGTAAGAATTAAGTTCGAACCAAGTGACCTCTATTTTGTTCTGTAAATATAATTTTAAGGTTATTCTAAATACAGTTTATTTAATATAAATTTATGTGTTTAAATAAATTTATTTATGTTTCAAATAAACATTTTGTTTGTTATAATTAATTTTGCATTAAAAGAAATAATTTGAAGCAAAATTTTAATCAAAGCAAAATAAATGTTTACTTAACTGAACAGCAATGCGTTTATTAATTAATTCAATCAAAATTTGATTGTTTTAAAATTTAAACAAATTGTTTTTCCGAGTGTGATAAATATTTCCATAATAAACAGATTTTTCCTTTATTCGTATAATAATATTCTTTTGAGAAATTTTGAATTTTGGTAAAATAGAAATTTTCTTTTTCCTTCTCTCTCTCTCTCTTTCTCTCCCTTTTGAAATTTCACGCTTGAAATCGTAATTATCTAAATTTGAATGGTTTCGCCACTCGACAAACGTCATCACGTCTCTCAACAAACATGAATTCTTGATAATAAATTATTGAGACGTAAGTTAATTCAATGATCGAGATTAGCAGCCGCTGTTGGTTGTCCATTTTGAACAAAGGAATTCCTGCTCCAAATTGCCAATCAATTATTATCTGTCTGTAGAAACTCGTGAACACACACAAATACATGAATGTACATGAATTCTCTCATGGTAATTCTCGTGTTGTGTGTCTGCATTCATGTAGGTAGACGTTTTGCAGTTTACTACTGTCTGGTATCAAGTTTAACACAGAATTTCTCAGATTCATTTTAATTAAGACAAAATGCCAAACAATTTTCACCGACCACGTAAATTTTGACACTTGAAACCGTGATATATAAATAACACAGTTCTTGTGACTTTTATTCTGAATTTTCACAAAAATATTTTTAATACCACTGAAAAAGAAAATTTCTTTTATTGAAATAATCAAACAACTTGTTTATTATCAATAAATATTTACTTGAATCAAATAATTTTTATTTAAATCAAATAAATTGTTATTAAATCAATAATTTCAGTATTTGAACTAAATTACCCCCAAAATGGATTAAAATAATCTGCAACGCTTTAATCTATTAGGGATTAAAATAATCAATCAAAGATTAAAATAAATCAAAGAAGGATTATTTTTTCAGAAAAAAAAAATTATTTATCGAAACGAATACTAGAATTTTTTTTTTACTTTTCAAAATTTAGAAAGAAAAATGGAAAATTTGTTTACTTTACGCTTTGTACTCTTAATATTTTCATGACGTTGAGAAGAAAGTTTATAAACAAAAGGAATGTGAAAACTTTTTGTGTAAAATATTGTATAAAGTTGGGAGAAAAAAATTTCACAAACTTTCTTTTTTTCTACGAATACTTTTATATCGTTAACTTTTTTATCGAATCGAGTGTAGAAGCAACACTATTCTGTCTCATTTTTTTTTTTTTTTTTTTTAGTTTTTTCTAGAAGAAAAAAGGGAAAATAACTGACAAATAATGAACGTGTTCACAAATCGATGAAGAATGTAGTACCGGAATGGTTTACACTCGACACACAATGAATTTATTTGGGTTTATGCCAAAAGTGGACTTTACACATATTTTCAAATGAATTTCGCTTAAAACGGCGTTTATATAATTTCACTGTGACAGGCGTTGATGCGTGTGGCTAGTTCTCTATTCATTTAAATATATATGTATATATATTACTCTTCATTTTATATTGAATCATTTTTCTTTAATCGCACATTATTTTTCTCTATTAGAATTAAAAATTTCTTTTTATTTTTCGAACATATTTTCTATTAAATAGTATTTATTAGTATTTTGTTTATTAAAAGAACATTTTTTGTTAAATTGTGGATTAATTTGAAGTCCACGTTGAATTCCTGAAGTGTCAACTTTGATCGAAACTTTTAACTTCTGTTCTGTGTAGAAACTAAA